CAGCATTTTTATGTGTGAAATGGGCATAAATGGGGCCAAAATCTATTTTTGTCCGTTACCATGGCAACCAAGGTGGTAACCTTAATTTTGAATGTTGATTATGTCATACTGTATGGGCATTAATCACCTGAAAAAGTTTCATTGAAATCGCCCATGGTGTGTGCCACAGCCCTATAGTAAAATTTTGGTCCTTACAGAGAATTGATGTTATATACTACATGTAGTATTCTGATGACCTTGAAATAACAAAAAATCCCTGACGCACCTGTTTCATATTTGAATATCTAACTGGGGAAGCACGTAAAATGATACTTAACACTTAAGTTTTTTTTCGCTACTCTTGGTGGCTTTATCTTTTTATTCTTCAGCTTTTGTCACTATGTACTGTAGCAATCTTTCTTTATCACCTACATATTGGGATTATGTCTCTCTATTACGAGCAATTAGATACACATCGGCATGCTCAACGAGAGGACAATTTGTTAAAAGAGGCAAAATATTAACAACCATGTTAATGAAACAATAATTTCAACATTCCTGCTTGAATTCATCATTTTGCAAGTTTTGTAGTTGATATCATGATGTGTCCACTAATTAAAACAGTATTGGTGGCTCAGAATTCTAATACCATTCTTAATGCTATTGTTTTATTTTTCTCTCGATAGAATGCGATGGTGGCAGATATGGACAAGATTGTGAAGACAGATGTGGAGCGTGTCTTGGATATAAACAATGTCACCACATCAATGGGTCTTGTCTTGGAGGTTGTGACACTGGATATGAGGGAGATTTGTGTAAATCAGGTAATTTAAATCATAAACCTATTTATAAACGATTCGTAGAAATAATATGTCAATCATATCTGGCCGTTCTTTTGCTATATTTGGAGGTAACTATCTTTAAGCTCGCTCACTTTCCAAATGTTCAGTGTAATCAGTCGTCACAAGTAAAGTTTATGCTACACGTCGGTTGGTAGCGACAAAAAATACTCTGTTCTTTCTGTGTAGGAGAGTTAGATACCGAAGAGATTTTCAAAAGTTGCACGGGTCTGTCGCAGTATACAAACACTTACACATGCAACTGCATCAAGATGTAAACAAAGGTAAGCAAGACAACCAACTCGATAAGGGATGGCCTTTCCCCATTGATACATGTACCAGTGGCTATAAAGCAGTCAGGTGATTGAATGCATAGAGTAAACCCTATTACTGATATCGTAGATAGTTCTATCACATTTATAATAAGGTAGACTGCTGGTAACTGCAGTTAAATTAGAAACCAAAAGAAAAGCAAATGTTACATGAAAATCTTACTCAACAATAACTTAAATTTTCTTTACCGCATTATTCACCTCTATCTACGTTGATCTAGCACAATATCGATGGAATGAACGGTACATTCATAGACCTGTGTCAGCATTCCAACTTTATTCGTAAGAATCTAGCTAACATTAATATATTTCTTCATGTTTTATGCTCCTGTACAGGAAGTTTTTGGGGTATATAATTTTTGTGGTGTCCGTCCGTCTGTCTGTTTCTTAACCTTGCCCATAACTTTGGATTTAGTTAAACTCTGTCGACTTTCATATTCCACATTTGTATTCCTTTTGACAAGTCCTTTCTTTGGGTACCACCAAATTGGACCATTTGATATTGACCTTGGATTTTGACCCAATTTTAGACAAAAAGTCCAAACTTTTACTTTGGCCATATCCTTTGAACAGTAAATAACAGAACTTTTTAAATTCAAACATATATATTTTTTCTTGTGTAAAAGAAGTTTTATACGATACCAACAACTTTGATCTTTTGAACTTAACCTTGAAAATTTCTGTACTTACAAAGACACTTTAACCTTGACCATAACTGTTGAACGGTAGAGGCTAGTGCTTTCATACTTCTTTTGTGTAATTCCTGTGAGAAGACTCTTCATTGGATACCAAGAACTTGACCCTTTGACCTTCCCTATAGAGTTTGAACCACTTTGAAAAAGCAAACTTTGATCATAATTTTAAACAGTTAGGGCCAGAGTTTTTATACTTTACAAATTTAATCCTTGTGACATGGCCTTTCGTTTGATTACAAGAACTTTGACCCTTTGACCTTGGAGTTTTACCAATTTTCTTTTTTTAAATTAACCTTGGTCATAACGTTTGAAGGATTAGGGCTAGGGCTTTAATACTTATCATATATATTCTTTATAGTAAGACCTTTCATTGCATACCAATTACCTTGACCTTCTAAACTTGATTTTTGAGATTTCCGCACTTTCGAAAAAAAATACTTTATCCTTGGCCTAATTTCATATTTCGTAATTGCAATTTTGTGAAAACATCCAATATTGGGTACCAATATTTAAATGTGCATTTAAGAAAATTTTATCTTCGCTATGTTGTAATACGGGGGCATCAGTGTTTCACAAACACATCTTGTTTTTAAAGATAAAGGTTACTTTGGGGATACATAATGAACGTATAGTGTTTCATTTTATCCGCAAATGAAAAAGCAAGACGAGAAAATGATTCTGCTATTGATGAATGTGGGAATTGTTGATATCATAAATCTATTTATGGATGCCCAACATAAACACAAATTCAAATTATCAAAATAATTATTTATACCAGATGTACTTTCATTAATTTTGACAGTGTGGTCACTTGTGTTTTATTAGATACATAGTCATTTCTGGACTTAGTAGGGGGTCACACAGTCTATAAAATCGAAATCCGTATTTGGCGAGGAGATTTAAAACGCTTCGAGCAGAATTTGAAATTTTCTTCTTGACTGCTACGTAATTCTGAAACTTTAAGGACGTCATGTGATTAGCTTTTATCCGATCAATAATCTTCAAGTAAGTCTAAATCTGAGTAATTAAAAAAGCCGCGTTTTTGACTTTGCCATAATTAATACCATAAAAATATAGTTTGTAATAAAAAAAAAATCTGGGCTGACAATAATATAGAATCAATTATGCTGTATTGCCTTTCAAAAGTTGGGTATTCCTATTTGTTTGCTGAAAAATGCACACCATATTTTGTCTGTATATCACGATTGTGTGCAAAGTATATATGTTAAAAGTTGCATGTTTTTAAGCTGTTGGTTTTGGTAAAATCTTGTGATCCATCATTATTAGAAATGGAAATATGGTTTTGGTAAAATCTTGTGATCCATCATTATTAGAAATGGAAATAGGGAGAACGTGAAAAAAAATGCATTGTGGTAAATTTCATTCTAATGAATGTCGTTTATCTTCTTTTAGGGTGCTCTGATGGAAGATTTGGTATTAACTGTGAACATAAATGTAATGAAAACTGTGGAGTACCATATGAATGCAACAGAGCCACTGGAGAGAGTGAGGGAGGATGTCAACCAGGCTGAGAGGGACCTCGATGTGATGATGGTAAATGATTTGTTTGCAGACCAAATCAAGTATCGTGTGCTTATAATACATTTCTTGCATTACCATTAATAATTGTGAAACTTAAATGTTTAATTGATATCCGAAATCCATATCCCTTTCTTAAGAACTGGTAGAGCATAGTAAGAGAACATAATGAAATGTTGAAATGTTTCAATAATTTCTCTTTCAATTAGTTTGCAAGGAAAATAAGTACGGTGAAAACTGCTTTCATTCATGCGGATTTTGTCGGTTCTCAACTTGTCAGCATGTAAATGGATCCTGCGAAGAAGGGTGCAAGGAAGGATATCAAGGAACGTTTTGCAAAGAGGGTAATTCAAAAAAAAATGAAGGCGTTTTGCTACTATCTTTTTGCTAAATATAGAATATAATTTCTAATTTGAGATTTTTCCCCAGGTGTTTTAGGGGGGAAACACGCATTTAAGCCAATCGGATATTGATACTCTAGTTTAATTCTTTTCATTACAGTGTGTGACGCAGGATATTATGGAGACGACTGTAAACAGGAGTGCAGCATTTTCTGCAAAACATCACGTGATTGTCACCACGTGACTGGACATTGTAACAAAGGCTGTATTGGTGGATGGCAGGGTTTAACATGCATGCAAGGTAAATGTTTTACAGTTACCCACACATTGATCATTAAAGCATACCTAACTCAGTGGCACTAGTTTTATAATGCTTCGAGTCTAATGTAAATCGAGGGTCGTATACTATTTTTTGAATTCGCAGAAAAAACGGATGGATCAAGATTTTTTGGCGTCCTAGCAGCTTTGCTTATCTGCATAGTTATAATCGTGGTTTTAGTTACCTATATATGGATTAAAAGGTCAGTCTTTTGATACATTAATATTCAAAATCCCTCCACTGAACATATTACATGTATACATAAATCATCTGAGATTGCCTTTTCAATAGTTTGACGTACAGTGTACGTTACGGAATGCTAAAATGGGCAAATAATGCTTCAATGATGATTGCATTGATAACTATGGGAAAATGTATTTGAATGAAATGAATATTGTTAAAGAAAATCGACAAGAAAAGGGACTATAGGGAAAAAGCGATTCCCTATAGGTAATCTTAAACATTCAACCTTACAATTAAACTAAATACTTCGAAGTGTTTGCTATACAAAAATGCAAGAACCTTCGTAATTATCACGATATACCTAAATGGGAGCACACGCACATGTATACATACACAATGGCTTATATTCTAAAAACATATGACAAACATATGACAAGATACATGCTATGTAACTAAAAGTTAGTGGATATTATTTTGAAAGAAAGAGATTTCAGTGCAAGGAGGCGTTTAGCACTTGACTAGCTATTAGAATAGAAACAAAGCTGGGCTCATGCACAGAAGTTCATGGTGTGAATTACAAATTCAAATAAAAAATTAGAATCTCATGAACATTGTTTACATAAAATGTCTTTTCCTAAATATAGAATCGAGGTAATATTTTTTTGTATTTAGTAGTCGTCTAAACATATAATTTATTTATGGATTTATTTATGAGAGACTTGAAAATGATGTATGAAACTCTCTCTCTCTCTCTCTCTCTCTCTCTCTCTCTCTCTCTCTCTCTCTCTCTCTCATTGTTAAATATATGCATTGATTTGAAATGTGCTTGATAGTTTTTTTTTTCATCTTTGTAAAATAGAAGGCTTAGTGGAATGTGCATTTTTGCTAGAATGTGAATTGAAAAAAAAAAAACAAATCAAAGATAGCCATTGAGTTTAAATCAAAGGAAAGTTTCGTACATTTGCTTCCAGTTAGGAAAAAAAAAACAAATCATGGCTTTATTTTGATAGGGTTCAAAGAAAGAAAAAAGAAAACCAGGACATAAACAAGTGTAACGAAGGTCCTCCAACAACTGTCAATCAATTGTACCTTGTTCATCAAGATACAAAGAATGGAGATGGTCATGCATATAATAAGATACAAGGCTTTGACATTAAAACTATTTCCAATAGCATGGATAAAAATTACTGAAGGAATTACGTACAGCTTAACGATATGACAGCATCAGGCTATACACTGCCTTGTCCAGAGTTAACTGACAAATGACTCGTCATGCTTTACTTTATAGCTTTATTATCGTAGCCCTGTACGTGATGAGGCACTTAATATATAGTTGTTGGTGTAAAGTAGTTTTATATACAGTTGTTGGTATAAGACACTTATTAAACATGACTACAACTTTTAAATGAACAAAATTGTATAGTTATTACGATTGTTATTTTAAATTATGTTTTTTGTTCATTTATTAGTAAATTCTTCATTTCATAATCACAGGTTGCTTCTTTTATTCATATGAAAAATATAGATGCTGATCCTGGATACTGATACTTTTTTTGCTAATGCTGATGCTGTTTTAGGTGTTCAGAATAGTTCTATGCATTGTAATCATTTCCTAGTAACATCTTTTTTTGTGAATAATGTATCCTATATCGCTGTACACTCACGACAAAGCTACCGTCAGAGCTACTTTGAAAACATTGGATTTATTATTTGCGGAATATTGAAAACGAAAAGGTTCCAAACACAGAGATGACGAGTGGTCAAACAATAATGTAATTTCAAATTCTTGTTAAATAATTTGTGTAATTATCTTATTGAAAGAATATTAACACGTAGTGTTGATTACTGGGCCATTGCGGAAGACAATTTTATGATCACAGTTTACTTTTTGCTATGGCATACATTAATTGATTGCATATTCAATATAGTTTACTTAAAATGACTTTGAACAGAAAAGCGATTCAATGGAAATTTATATAATCCAAGTAGATGTAATTCTGTATTTTACAGGTAATAATGACAATAGATACATGTAGAATACAAAATTGTAAAAGAATTTTTATACTCTGGATTTTCCCATTCTTTCAAGATCATAAACGTACTCAAATTGCAAGTGTTGGCGGCCGACAGAGGTTTCTTCCTCAATAACACATGATCTACTTCTAATATCAAAAATATAAAATAAAAAGAGGATTTAAGGGGGCCGAGTATAGTTTCCATTGCGCAATATTTCGCGCATCATAGTAAAATGAAGCGTATTTACTGTTTTAATGCAATTTTTTTCGCTTAATTATCAAAATTAAACAAAATTAAGAAATTATAGGTATAAAAATGTAATTATAATTTGATATAACGGATTTTTTAACCGATTTTGCTATTGATAGGTAGGTTGACGTCGTTGCAGTGTGTTTTTGTCGTTATGATAATTTGTAGCTCTTAAAGAAAGGGGTAATGAAAATATTATTAAAGAAAAAGTAATAAACATCCGCTCTTGAAATTTAAAACATAGAAATTTGAGAATATCTCCAATATTTTTATTATGTTTTCATGTGAATCCATATTATACGTCATATTTTGTAGTACTCTATAAAAATAGTAAAATTTGCTAATTTTTTTGCATTTTGAGATGCCCCCTCTGGTAACAAGACGGTAGAATTTTGTGTTTCTTACATATATTGTATAATTTCGTATTACTCATAAAATATTATAGTTTGAACAAAATGTCTATTGTAGTATTCGTATAATTTGCTTTAAAGTGCTAAAAATTGGCATTTTCCTATATAATCCTATATAGTAAATGTACCTGTATTTTGAGACGGTCCCTCGCATTTACTTCCCCCCAAACTTTGCATGTACACTGAAGTTAATGTAAGTTATATATGGTATAAAAATGAAGAGTTTCGCTATTGTAGTTTTCACACAATAAAACTATAGTCGGCCCCCTTAATATCAAATAGCTCTATCCAGGATTTCTATTGTTTAAACTGACTTATGAGAATTATTATTACTCTTCTTCATATATTGCATTTAATGTCAATACAGTTATTCTATCTAAAAAAAATAATACTAGGCCTATCTGATAAAATCATAAGCAGAGGATTCGTTTTGGTCCTCTAGTCCTTGATATCCACTATTAATTATTTCTTCGGCCTTCACTGTGACACTAATATTACATGGTTCATCCTTATTGTCTTTCCCCTTATTCTCCCTGTCCATTCCACTGCTGCTCCGTCTGTGAAAATGAAATGATATAACCTTTCAATTTATTACTGGGTCCATACTTGAAACAATATCTCATCTGGTATCTATTTAAGATCTACTCGTGTTTCAAAATGACTTTTTGGTGAACGTACATACCGTCGCAGAAACATAGCCACTATAAACATCATAAACATAGCAATACAAACACAGAGAGCAGCAAGAACCCCATAAAATCTGGATCGCCAGTCGGTCGCGTCTTTTGCAGGACCTAAAAGTATACAATGATGAATACTATAATTTGCTATATTCCTTTCTCTTAATTGCATAACACGACTCAAAATATGCTAAGCATTTACTTCTTTTGTTTGTATAAAGTGGGTTTTAAATTTATATTGGTTTTCAAACAGACAAAGCATTTTTCATCACATTGTTTTTAAGGTCTTCCGTTTCCAACGGAAGACCTTCTACTGATTCTGTTGGTAAAGATTATTAGGGTCATCCGTGTCCAGCGGAAGACCCTTCTATTATTCTTCGTTTTTTTTTCACTTTTATTAGGGTCTTCCGTCTTCAGCGGAAGACCCTTCTATTATTCTTCGGTTTCTTTTTCACTTTTATTATTATTATTATTCTTTTTTCTCCTTACCGATTTTGTGCAGAAGATTTCTCGGAGATGGCTCGATCGATTTGGTTCAAATTTTTGATGTTGATGTGCTCAAGCTAGAAAGCTGAAATTTTCAGGGACGGTAGAGGACATGTTGCCATATTGCACCTGGGTCAGGATATTTTCCGGAAGTGCCTAGTATGGGAGCTCGGTAGGGGTCAAAATTTAGGACACGAATCATGACCGATTTTTTTGAGACATTTCGCATCATATCTTTTAAAGTATAAATATTTTGTTAAAACGTGCTGAACATCATTTGTGCAGAACATTGAGATCTTTCATATTATACGAAGAAAAAAGCGCTGACTCATCACATTAAGGGCAAAAAAGGGCCAGAAGTCTTTAATCGATAACTCTTTAACAATCAATATTTTGGTATATATTACTGAACAAAAAATGTTAAGCTTAACAATCTACAACTATATATAATGATTTTCATGTCGTATGGTACATAATTAGGGGCCACAAGGGGCCAGAATGCTAAATCTTTGATGCTTTATATCTCAAAAGGGAGAAATATTTTGATAAGCAATATTGAACAAAAGATGTTCAAAATAATGTTCTTAACAATATGCAACCTTTCATTTTTTGCTAAACGTCCCCATTAAGGAGTTGAAGGGTTGGCCCCTAAATATTTCTTTTGCTAATAACTCTGAAACGAAAAAGAATTTCTGAACAGTTGTTGAACACAAAATGTTCAAAATCTTAAGATCTTTAAGATGAGATCCCGAGAAAGGGGCTGGGCACTCGAATTAGGGGCTGAGAGGGGCCAAAAGTCTTCAATCGATAACTCTTTAACAATCAATATTTTGGTATATATTACTGAACAAAAAATGTTAAGCTTAACAATCTACAACTATATATTATGATTTTTATGTCGTATGGTACATAATTAGGGGCCACAAGGGGCCAGAATGCTAAATCTTTGATGCTTTATATCTCGAAAGGAAGAAATATTTTGATAAGCAATATTGAACAAAAGATGTTCAAAATAATGTTCTAAACAATATGCAACCTTTCTTTTTTTACTAAACGTCCCCATTAAGGAGTTGAAGGGTTGGCCCCTAAATATTTCTTTTGCTAATAGCTCAAAAACGAAAAAGAATTTCTGAATAGTTATTTAACAAAAAATGTTTAAAATCTTAAGAACTTTAAGATGAGATCTCAAAATAGGGGCTGGGCACTCGAATTAGGGGCCAAGAGGGGCCAAAAGTCTTTTTTCGATAACTCTTTATCAGTTAATATTTTGTAATACATTACTGAAGCAAAGATGTTTATCTTAACCATCTACAACTATATATTATGGTTTTTATGTCGTATGGTACATAATTAGGGGCCACAAGGGGCCAGAATGCTAAATCTTTGATGCTTTATATCTCGAAAGGAAGAAATATTTTGATAAGCAATATTGAACAAAAGATGTTCAAAATAATGTTCTGAACAATATGCAACCTTTCATTTTTGCTAAACGTCCCCATAAAGAGTTGAAGGGTTGGCCCCTAAATATTTCTTTTCCTAATAGCTCAAAAACGAAAAAGAATTTCTGAATAGTTGTTGAACAAATAATGTTCAAAATCTTAAGAGCTTTAAGATGATATGAATAAAAAGGGCCGAATCCTTAAATTAGGGGCCGTTAGGGGCAAAAGGCCGATTTTTTAAGTCTTTAATGTTCAATGTCTTTTTACAGATTGTGGTAAATCATTATTTTAGAATGAAAATCGCAATCAAAATCTTATCTCATCTCGTCAAGAATTGTACGGAAGACCCACTCGTTGCTCGCAACGAGATCGTATCTAGTTAAGGTCTTCCGTTTCCAACGGAAGACCTTATTGTTTTCGTTCGGTTTCTTTTTCTCTATTATTATTATTATTATTATTCTTCCAACCGATTTTGTGCACGCGATTTTTCGAAAACGGCTCGACCGATTTACATGAAATTTTCATATGTAATAGCTTATCAATCGATCTTGATAGGTTTTTGATCGTTTTTATGACGTCACTTCCGGTCGTGAGATATGGGCAATTTTCTGATTTTAAAATGCAATTTTGTCTTGATTTAATAGCAAAAACTGCTTAAGATATGAGCTGAAAATTAATTGGAGATGATAGTTCATGACTTATAGCGTTGCAGAATTGCCTTTTCGTGCGACGTCAGTACTTCCGGTCGAAACCGGAAGTGAATTTAAGAAACGTATTTTTTCAACTTTTCATTTTTAATATTTTTATTTTAGAATTGAATAGAGACCCTTTCGCAGAAGCCATATATGTAATTTGTTTGAAAATCGAAAAAGCCAATCTCGAGATATTAGCGTTTGAAAACGCGAAGCGGCGATCCCGATGGCTGAATGGTTAGCGCGTTGGATTGTCACGCGGGCGACCCGGGTTCGATCCCCCTTGTGACCAAAAAATTTTATCACTTTTTCTGCTCGATTTTTCGATTTTTATTAATTTTAGACCCTTTGCAACAACATATTTTCAAATTTTAAGTATATCTTACGTAATAAGGGGTCACAAAGGGCCAGAATACTAAATCTTTGACGCTTTATATCTTAAAAAGGGGGAATATTTTGATAAGCAATATTGAACAAAAGTTGGTCAGAATAATGTTCTTAACAACATGCATACTTTGAATTTTTTGAAAAATGGCCCCATAAAGGACTTGTAGGGGTGGCCCCTAAATATTTATATGTAGCATATCTCCACAACAAATAAAAATCTCTGAATAAGTGTCGAACAAAAAAGCTTCAAAATCACAAGACCTTTCATTTGATATCAAGAAAAAGGGGCTGACTGCTCAAATTAGGGGCTCAAAGGGGCCAACAGTCTTTTATTTATAACTCTCTATTGATCAATATTTTGTTATACTTTACTGAATCAAAAGTATTTATCTTAACGATTGGCAACAATATATGATACAATTTTGATCATATGTTACGTAATTAGGTGTCACAAGGGGCCAGAATCTCAAATCTTTGACACTTTATATCTCGAAAAGAGAGAATATTTTGATAAGCAATATTGAACAAAAGATGGTCATAATAATATTCTAAACAATATGCACACTTTATATTTTTGTAAAACGGCCCTTTTAAGGACTTGTAGGAGTGGCCCCTAAATATTCATATGTAGCATATCTCCAAACGAATAGAAATCTCTGAATAAGTGTTGAACGAAAAAGCTTCAAAATCACAAGACCTTTCATTTGATATCAAGAAAAAGGGGCTAACCCCTGAAATTAGGGGCTCAAAGGGGCCAACAGTCTTTTATTTATAACTCTCTATTGATCAATATTTTGTTATACATTACTGAATCAAAAGTATTTATCTTAACGATTGGCAACAAAATATGATACAATTTTGATCATATGTTACGTAATTAGGTGTCACAAGGGGCCAGAATGTCAAATCTTTGACGCTTTATATCTCGAAAAGGGAGAATATTTTGATAAGAAATATTGAACAGAAGATGGTCAGTATAATATTCTAAACAATATGCATACTTTAAATTTTTGTAAAACGGCCCCATTAAGGACTTGTAGGAGTGGCCCCTAAATATTTATATGTAGCATATCTCCACAACGAATAGAAATCTCTGAATAAGTGTTGAACAAAAAATCTTCAAAATCACAAGACCTTTCATTTGATATCAAGAAAAAGGGGCTGACCCCTCAAATTAGGGGCTCAGAGGGGCCAACAGTCTTTTATTTATAACTCTCTATTGATCAATATTTTGCTATACATTACTGAAGCAAAATTATTTATCTTTACGATTAGCAACAATATATCATACAATTTTGATCATATGTTACGTAATTAGGGGTCGCAAGGGACCAAAATGCTTTGTTTTTTATGCTTTATGTCTCGAAAAGGGGGAGTATTTTCATTAGCCTTATCAAACAAAAGATGTTCAGAATATCGTGATAAAAATGAGAAACTTTAACTTTAATGAGGGAAAACTCGATGTCATTCTCCTTAAACGAATATCTCAGTCAAAATCACATCTCATCTTATCTAGAAATTCAACGGAAGACCTACTCGTTGCTCGCAACGAGATCTCATCTAGTTATTATTATTATTCTTTTTTCTCCTTACAGATTTTGTGCAGAAGATTTTTCGGAGATGGCTCGATCGATTTGGTTCAAATTTTTGATGTTGATGTGCTTCTATCTGAAGTCTGTACCGGCTCTTCGATTTTGAAAAAATCACTTCCGGTCGGAAGTTTTTGCCCTTTGATCAAAATTTAGATGACCTCCATGTCTGTGATGGAACTTAAAAACGGGTCAAGCTAGAAAGCTGAAATTTTCAGGGATGGTAGAGGACATGTTGCCATATTGCACCTGGGTCAGGATTATTTCCAGAAGTGCCTAGTATGGAAGCTCGGTAGATGTCAAAATTTAGGACACGAATCATGACCGATTTTTTGAGGCATTTCGCATCATATCTTTAAAAGTATAAATATTTTGTTAAAATATACTGAACATCATTTGAGCAGAACATCGAGATCTTTCATATTATACCTAGAAAAAAGCACTGACTCATCACATTTAGGGCAAAAAGGGGCCAGAAGTCTTTAATCGATGACTCTTTAACAATCAATATTTTGGTGTATATTACTGAACAAAAAATGTTAAGCTTAACAATCTACAACTATATATTATGATTTTCATGTCGTATGGTACATAATTAGGGGCCACAAGGGGCCAGAATGCTAAATCTTTGATGCTTTATATCTCGAAAGGAAGAAATATTTTGATAAGCAATTTTGAACAAAAGATGTTCAAAATAATGTTCTAAACAATATGCAACCTTTCATTCTTTGCTAAACGTCCCCATTAAGGAGTTGAAGGGTTGACCCCTAAATATTTCTTTTGCTAATAGCTCAAAAACAAAAAAGAATTTCTGAATAGTTATTGAACAAAAAATGTTCAAAATCTTAAGATCTTTAAGATGAGATCCCGAAAAAGGGGCTGGGCACTCGAATTAGGGGCCAAGAGGGGCCAAAAGTCTTCAATCGATAACTCTTTATCAGTTAATGTTTTGAAATACATTACTGAAGCAAAGATGTTTGTCTCAACCATCTACAACTATATATTATAGTTTTTATGTCGTATGGTACATAATTAGAGGCCAGAAGGGGCCAGAATGCTAAATCTTTGATGCTTTATATCTCGAAAGGGAGAAATATTTTGATAAGCAATATTGAACAAAAGATGTTCAAGATAATGTTCTGAACCAATATGCAACCTTTTATTTTTTGCTAAACGTCCCCATTAAGGAGTTGAAGGCTTGTCCCCTAAATATTTCTTTTGCTAATAGCTCAAAAACAAAAAAGAATTTCTGAACAGTTGTTGAACACAAAATGTTCAAAATCTTAAGATCTTTAAGATGAGATCCCGAAAAAGGGGCTGGGCACTCGAATTAGGGGCCAAGAGGGGCCAAAAGTCTTCAATCGATAACTCTTTATCAGTCAATATTTTGTAATACATTACTGAAGCAAAGATGTTTATCTCAACTATTTACAACTATATTTTACAATTTTTATGTCGTATGGTACATAATTAGGGGCCACAAGGGGCCAGAATGCTAAATCTATGATATTTATATCTTTATATCTCGAAAGGGAGAAATATTTTGATAAGCAATATTGAACAAAAGATGTTCAAGATAATTTTCTGAACAATATGCAACCTTTCATTTTTTGTTAAACGTCCCCATTAAGGAGTTGAAGGGTTGGTCCCTAAATATTTCTTTTGCTAATAGCTCAAAACGAAAAAGAATCTCTACATAGTTGTTGAACAAAAAATGTTCAAAATCTTAAGAGCTTTAAGATGAAATGAATAAAAAGGGCTGATTCCTAAAATTAGGGGCCGTTAGGGGCAAAAGGCCGATTTTTTTGAGTCTTTAATGTTCAATGTCTTTTTACAGATTGTGGTGATTCATTATTTTAGAATGAAAATCGCAATCAAAATCTTATCTCGTTGTGTACATAGGTTTTTGTTTTCCAATTTCTCTATTCAAAATGGCGCTATATAGGGGTCAAAAATTAGAACGCTTGAAAGAACCAAAAATTACTCATATTTTGCTTTTTTCTTCTAAACTAAAAATATTTTGTTAAAATGTATAGAACATAATTTGTGCAGAATTGAAAGATCTTTCAAATGATATGTCGGAAAAAGGGCTGACCCCTAAATTAAGGGATCTAGAGGGGCCAAATTTTTTTCCAGATATCTCAAAAAGTATTGAGAAATTGTTATACATCAAAGAAGCAAAGTTGTAAAATATGTCAAGCTTTATCTAATGGAGTCAAATACGTCTTGCGTCGTCACTTCCGGACAAACCGGAAGTAGTCGGAAAACGGGTACTTTTGCCGTTTTGACAAGTTTTTGGGTAACATGTGTCTCTTGAACCTTAAAAATTAATTTTTCGTGCGTCGTTGTTTTTTTTCCGGTCAAACCGGAAGTAGCAAAAATGGCTTATGTTTGCATTAATTAACATAGCTTAAGAGGATTCAAAGCATTTCTCATTTTTGTTAAAAATGAAAGCTGCTTCCGGTCAAACAGGACGGAAGACCTACTCGTTGCTTTGCAACGAGCTTTGCTCTAGTTTGCTTCTCTATTTTTCCCTCTTTCGTCGTCTACAATTTAAGCAATGCAACAATATAACCCAATAGAAATTAAGGACCATTTCATGTTTTGTTTGGACTTTCAGTAAGACGTGGTATTCTCGAGGTTTGATAATTATCTTCTGCAAATTTAAGCAGTTTTCCTACACTGTAGAAATATACATTGGATAGGAATTCGGACAAATGCCAATTAGTGTATCAAATAACCAATTACATTGTTTCGACCTGTGAAGAGGTGGAGCTTAAGTCGTCTCATCCTTTTCAACAACAATTCAAAATGTTGTTATTTCTTGACCAATGAGAATATATTCGCTATTTGACAAGCGGTACACATATTGCGCCGAGAATGCCATGCCTTACTAAAAGTCGAAACTAGGCTGGAAATGGTTGTATTGTCTTTTTCTTTCTTTTCAACCGTAATTTTAATGTATTTTAAAACTTTCAATCTACCAGAGTTTGATCGCAATTTTTTTATCCAAATAGACATTATTTGTGATAAAAGGTTATTTGTTTATGAATATAAAACGTGCAGTAGCTTCTAATAAAAAAACTTACCTTGCTCACAGAAAGCACCTTTTTTACCAGGCTTACATTCAAAACATATCCCTGTTTGTATATGACAGTAGTCTTCGCAATTTACAGGACACGACAAGGAACAATCTGGTCCATAACGTCTAGGCATTGAACAACCTAAGATTTTACAACAAAATTGAATAGTTGTATACAACAATTAAGTTTATTCATGTATTTTCATTTTTATACGAAGTTTACTCATTTTTAATATTAAGAAATTTACCATAAACTTCAACCTCACAAAGTTCAATGTATGCATCTGTAGAATAGTCACTCGGATAATTAATGTCTGGAAGTCTCTCATTGTAGTAAATGACATATCTTCCGTGGAGAGGGCAGCTTATATTGACCATGGGTGGTATCGTGCTTCTCGTGTAGTATGTATCGTGGAAACAGACATGCCCCGCATGTCTGTCTGTTGTATTGGACACATAAATAAAAAATCCAAGAAATCTACCAGTATAGTCATTGCTAGCATCTACAAAAAAACATAATTTACATCGGTAGATAATAGGACCTTTTATCGGTTTCTCATCTATAATGTTCAACACTTTATGTGGTTGTGACGGGTAGGGGTGAGTTTTCGACCTCAAAATCTTATGCTTTAAAATGCTTGATTCTAAATATGTCTGGTATCATTTGATGTCTTACTTTTGACGAAAGAGTACCTCAATGAGCGTCAAATACATTGCTTTTGCCATGTGTGTAACATATGTGTAAAAAAAGTTTCCTGGTCTAAAGATCAAAGCAACAGATAACATAAAGAATTATTCTTAATCTTCCACATTAACACAAAGGGTGGGTGAATAGATAAACAAAACCTTTTTTTCCAAAAAAATATAAGGATTTCTTATGTTTCAGTAGTTGAAAGAGGTGCTGTTTTTTTTTTTCAAGACACTATTCGTTTCCTATGTAAGATGAGAGGTCCTTTTGAGTAATCCATCCTTTCCATCTAACAAATCTTTATCTCAAGTATTTGCAAGGTTTTGTACAGATTTAACTTCCTTTACGATAGGGAATCCATATAAAACGTCAAATATTGCACTGACTGGGAAATCTTTTTCTCGGCTTTCGTGAGTTTATTTTTTTTTCTGAGAGAAATTGTACCACCCGGACTATACAAGAATAATTGGAAAAACAATATTGATAACTATGTTCTTTCTTTTTTTTCATTATAGTTTTGCAATTTTCTTTATGATTTCTTTTTATTATAAATAAAATGAGGGACTTTTTCCTTGAGATAATTCTATACATGTTTCAATATTCTTATTACATGTATTTGACCTTATATTATTTACAATCAAATTTATGATATACTCACTCCACGTATTTCCGTCGGTCCTGTAGTAGACAACAATATTATTGATGCTTAAAATTCTGCCTAGATCAACCCACCAAGTAGCAGTCTTTTTGTTATCTTTTGAAATACTACATTGTTTTCCAGAATGCGAGAAGTCTGATTTTAAACCGTCTACAGCTTTTTCAGATCCAACAGTTGGGTCATAGGTTGTACTCTGCCGAGCAGATTTTCTAAACGCTAGGTTCTCTAGAAAAAGATGATATTACCATGTTATTTCTACGAGTGAAATATGTTTTACTTCTGTTAAATACATTAAACAGAAAGGTTTTTGAATAAGCAGTGCATAAAAAAAGTAATAACCGTCCTCAAAGGAACATATACGCACGCATTAAAAAAAAAGTTACTTGATAGAAATGTCGGCATTATAGAATTGTCCTCATTCTTTTTAAAAAAGAAGAAATGCATTATATTAGAATCTCACCACTCTAATTAAGATATTACCGATATCGGAGATAAAATGATGTGGTTATCAATTTTACATTGATGTCAGCAACAGACGTCACGATAGCGCTGTCGGTTTAGCGCTTGCTCCGTTACCAGAAAGTCGTTAGTTAGAATCACAATTACAACTGACTTTTGCTTGGCACCTTGAAGTGAAATATCGAGGGGGTCCTTCGGATTACACCTAAATACCGAGGTCCCTTGTCACGGCAGTTGTTGGCATGAAAAGGATCACTCATTCTCAATGACAGTAAGTACCATGTAAAGGTAAAAATGTAACGGCCTTTACTTTTCTTTGGTGACATTTCTATGTGGGTTAAAAATTCTCGAATGAAATGGAAGGTAAACGAAATAAAAGTATCAATCAATCAACAGACTTGTCACTTGATACCGGTATGACAGACTATATATTCTAAAAAATACAATGCTAATACATTTTTAGTGTCTTTATTTAAAGTGTATTTTTAAGACGGTAAGCTACATGTTTCAAAAGTCAATTGCCTGCATATGAAATAATTTATTTTCATGATGCCACAATGATCGCGGCTTTCTTTAAATAACTTTGTCTGTCAAAGGAAATCATAAATGCTGCTTCATTTCTAAGATGAGGGCATCTCAATGGTTGCCAATCATTGGGTCCATCTTCCCATCACAGCTAACATTTTACAGCAAATGTTAAATGCCGTAGAACACACTGTAAGCAAGTTTTCCATGAGAATTATGCTGTTATACAGTTTCCAACTGTTTTCACCTGCATGGCCTATTTTTTTTTTGTTTTTTTTTTTTTGTTTTTGTTTGTTTTTTTGTTTTTTGTTTTTTGGTTTACATATCCCACTTTTTTGTGCACAGGCAATTTGTGCTTTTGGGGAATTTGAAAAGTTTATTCTTATGTAGGTTATGTATGTTTGTTTGGGGTCAGACTGCATAATACTTATTGAAGATAACACTGTCATTTTTTCTAGTCCCTCTGACCCCCATGACTTTTACAAATTTCATATTCGTCATTTTATGAATAAATGACATTTTATTTTAATTCAACACTGTATTACTGGTTCTGCCCGTCTGGTCAAAAAATAAGCTTAGTCAACTCGGCAAGACATTCTGCAACCAACGGAACATAAATAAGTTAACTAGGGACCATGCAGTGAAATCCCGACATAAAATCAAAGTACTGAAAGTACTGAAAAGCGGTTAGCATGCTTTCATCTAATATGTACCGAAAAAAGTGCATGAAATGATATTTAAGTATGCATATCTTTGTCTAATGTCATCAGAGAAAAAATAACAGGCATTCTGTTTTTGTAATACTTTACTTAATAGTAAAACCAATAACATTCGAAACTGATGTCACAGATGGATGCAATCTAATTAAAATTAGATGTTCCGAATCCGCTACTGCTTCTCAAACATCTAACAACATCATATTTGGGGTCATGTAAGAGTGAATCTTCGATTAGCCAAAGAAAACGGTTCCTCCGAAATCTTGGCTTATAGTTCAGATGGGTTTCTTGTTTTCACCACCGAACCAAAACACCCGAGGAGTTTTGTAGTAAACAAAATATGCATTGCATAAGCTGTGTTATGTATGACGTGTGGGTATCTTGTATAGTTTGTGCTCTTTCGTTTGCATTATTCACGTGCAGATGCCAGACTGCAGACTATACATGAAATTGATTCCAAAAATACTTTAATTCAACGTAAGACAGTATCAATAATGATGATATGTAGGCGTGGAATTAATTTGAGAATTGTTTACCGAGGCTTGAATCTACATGGCCAAAGTTTTTGTGTTTACTAGTACATGTATTCATAATCGAAAGGTCGCTCTGGTGTGACCCCGAATGGGATGTTAGATGTTTGAGAAGCAGTAGCGGATTTGGAACATTTAAATAAATTTTGATTAGATTGAAATGCATGTTTCAAAATTTAAACATGAGATTTCTTCAGTTTGGAAGACAGGAAGTGCATTTTTAAAAGTTCTCTCTTGGTGGCACCCTATCGTTCTCTGGATGAAAACAATTAATAAATATGTTGATGTTGAAAATTTAATTGTCTTTCATGCTCTATTGAATCTGAAGTTAGGTAATTGTAAAGCCTAGTATAGCAAACAACTAAAAAAATGACAAATTAAATTCTTTAGAATGATGGATTTGGAGTAGTGTAGATCTACAGCTGGCTAGTAAGAGAAAAACGGATGACCGAGCAGAGACTTTGTAAATGAATTGATATCAAAGAACTCCAGTTGTGAAGGCTCATCGCGGATGTAACCTGTCAACGAGGGATGCTTTCTTCTTCTAGGCAACGGATCCCACCTCTTGAACTTTCAGGAGTCAGCTTTTCTTCTTAACTCGATCATTGCTCATTTTGTATTTTTATACAGATACTGAATACTTCCGTTTAGTAATATTATGAACTACTACTTCTACGGGAAGACTGGCGAGTAAACAAGATTATCAAACTTTATGAAATGTACTTTATTGACTTTTCAAACAAGTAAATGTTCGAATAAAGTAAATGGTACTCAGTATATGAGAATCATTTAAAAGAAGTCTTGCACAATATGTCTAGATAAGGACATATAATGTGTATTTGCCATATACTCTTCATGCAATATTGCTCTCAAATAAAACATGTGAAAAGGAAAGTTGTCTAATCAAAAAATACTAATATTTAAATATTCAAATGTACACTTAAAGTCAGTGTAACTTAAGAAGTTATCAGTGTCACTTTCTTCAGTATGTCGGTTAAACAATGTACACTGATTTCTTTTCTATCAATGTGCCTCTAAACACCTGTATCTTAATTTAATTCTTCTCAAACGCTCGAAATAATGATCGACAAATTGGACAAATTAAAATTTAAAAAGTATTTCACAGCTAATAATACGTTCCCTAGGAATTGATCAAATTTTCAAAACTTATAAATAAACATAAGTATAAATTTTAAATTTTTGCTAATTGCCAAGATTTTTCATACCTCATTCTTCTGTGAATAATAATATCGGTTGATTTTTAGAAGAGGGTCACAATGCCGATTAAAATTAATATATATTTATCCATTTTTTTTTCAAAATTAATTTTACTACTTAAAGTGCCCCATTATTTTTTTCAAAACTAAAGTAAGTGATCCCTTATGATCGTTTGTACATGTAATAAATTATCAAAGATGGAGCAGAGAATTTACCCCTGGGAGCTGAGCTTTTATAACTGTTTATTAGACAGAGAAGAAAACAAACGTTTCATTGTGGAGGTAATCCTATTGTTTCCATAAAACGTTACAAAAAGTGTTAAACTTGCAGATGTATTCGGTGTTTTTATAAAAACGTTTTTCAGGTATGACTTGACTTAATAAATGGTGTTTCTTAATACTTTGGCAAGGAAAATCAAACTCGATCGAGAGATTTGCTGATGTTTTTGCAGTCTGTAATAACCTTCAACCTGCTGTATAATTAACCGCATCGTTCAACTTTCAAAAATAAACTAACAGTTGCTATAAATCGCGATCGCACGATGTACATGTAATAAGGACGAAATTCTCAGTTCTTTGAAGTTAGTGTTCTACGTATTGCCAATGCTTTGGTAAATACTAATAAGAATTCGATATAATCGTTATAATAGCCACTCTTCGTACACAGCTTATTGTCAATCTCTCACCAGGGGGCGTATTACGCCAACAGTATACAAATCATAGGAAGCGCTTTGCCGAAGTTACCGTTGTCGATAGGTAGCGCCTTGTGAACGTTTCCGGTTTTGGTTGCAGAAGGATAAGGTTACGTGCGATAAAGCGATGTCGATAGGTAGCACCTTATGGAAGTTTCCGGTTTTTTGGAGCCCATGCCATAAAGCGGTTAGCTAGCTAACCGCTTAAAAACGGAGATAAGTGATCAATATTTTTACCGAAATATCGCTGAAATGGTGCTAATCCGGTGTAACGACGAAAAATGACCCCCGTAGAATATTGACCGGGGGTCATTTTTCTACGTAGAAATTTTACCCCCTGGTCAATATTCTACGTAGAAAAATGACCCCTTTTTCTGTAGAAATCATGGCCTTGGGGTCATATTTCTCCGTGTGCATTGTAGAAAATTGACCCCGTAGAATAATGACCCCCTGTCATTTTTGATGCCAAAACAATTCGTTTTAGAAGGAATATTCTTATTAGGCATATGCAAGCGGGTAATATCAAGCTGACTTATGCTTTAAAGTGTTAATTTGTGAAAGCTTTTAAGCTAAGATAACGAAATCAAAGAGATAAAATACCTTGCATTATGCATGTTATGATACAAACTGTTTATCTCCACTAGAGGAAAACGGTATCAAAATGTTCTAACCCAAAGGCTATAAGAGCAAAGATACGAGAATTCATAGAAACTTTTATTAAATTTTATACCAGTAATTTTATACCAGTAAATAAGTTTCCACAGTTGCGATTTTAATTCTAAAAAAGGGTTATTTCCAAACTTACGCAAGAGTTCTTTGTACCAAACCAAATCTCAAATCTCTGTGTGCGAAGAAGCAGAGGACTACTGTATGGGTAGTATGGGTCATTTCTAGCTGACAGTATGGTGTCAGAAAGAAAAGTTTCCGTTTTTAATCAATAATGAATCTTTTTGATTTTACCCTGGATACATAATTTTTCAAAAGTTTTTTATCCATATTTTTAAAACGGGCACGAAAAGGTGTTCCAACATAGAAAAATCGTATAAAAATATTTGATTTTCTATGAATGAAGTTTCAAAC